TCGGTCTCGGTGGGGAGGGGGGCTGGCGCCGATGTCGCTACTGCGACTCTGGGGCTCGACGGGAGTGTCGGCAGCAATTCCCCTTGGCCGGCCCCTCGTTGAGGCCACGGCATCTCCCCCCACCCGTTTGGGTCCCATTTTACATGGCGGGGCCGTTTTCTGTGGGCTCCGCTTCTTCCGTGGCCGGCGGGGCCTGTCCCCCGTGCGACTCGCCCTTCGCTTCTGGCCTGTAACTTCTTTCCCGCATTGTAAGATGGCGGCGGGTTCGCCCCGTTCAGGCTCTTTCCGGGATCTCTGGCTTTCTGCAATAACATGACACGCACACACACCGTGCACACGCGCGCCCGGCCGCTGTGGCGCGGCAACTGCGGTACCCGGGCACTGCTGGCTGTTCTGCTCCCCCAACAGCCCCGCTCTGGCCTGGCCTGTGCTCCTCGCCTTGGAGGAGCCTGCGCTGCCTTCACAAGGGGCGGAAGTGTTTGTGTGCAGTACGGAGGATGGCATTGCTCAATCCGGCTGGGTGGAGTGATATACGTGTGTGTATAAATATTTTTTAACAGCTAATGCGGAAAAAAAAGTCATAGGGCCATATGTTTAAATCACTTCCAGAGAAAAAGTTTGTGTGGCACAGTGGGATTTAGGGAGCATTGTGATCCTTTCCTGTTTCAGGGATGTTCTTGTGCAGTACAGCAGCCAAGTTCCCAAATGAGGTATCCCATGATTGAAGCAGGATGGTTTTAAAATACGCTAAATTTTGGGGGGGGGGGAGGCAGAAATATTTGCTCCTCATCATTTTGAGCCTGCCAAGAAGGTAGAAAATCATAGTATCCTGAATATTCTGGAAACCTTTTCTTGGGCACTTCTCAAGTACTGTAGTGCTGTCATTATTTGATGTTACACACCTTAACAGTGGTGTCTTGATTGACTAGTTTGACTAAAATAAGGACAAATGAAGCTTGTATCCTATACCTCGCATCTAATGTTGAATAAAGCCCTTAAAAATGTAAAAGCTCTTAAAATCACTGCAAGTAGAAAGTGTGGACTTGTATTACAGCTACAGTATTTAAATAATTTCAGAAAAACAATTCCTGGTGAATCTGCCATCAAAACTTGTTCCCCTTGCATTAGTGGATATTATTAAAACAGGCTAAGGGACTCCCTGGTGTGCTTTGTCATCAACTTGCAGTAAAATGCATCTGAAACTCAGGCGTCTGTTCAAAAGAATAATTTATGGTCAGGTGTATGCCAAGGCAGGCTCTCAAATGTATAGCAGATCTGATATTTAAAACATTTTAAAAAATAAAACATAATTTTGTTTCAAGAACTCTATGTAGATTATAAGCTTTGTGGAGCAGGGACTGTCAGCTACTCAGGTCAGTGTCTTGTTCTTGGTTGGTTTTTTCCACTACTGGAATCAGTTATACAATATCCAAGGCCACTGTTTAGGACTTTTAGTTTTGGTATAACCAGACTTAAGTTATGAGGTATACCTGTAAAGTGATGTTTTGTTTGCATTTTTTACTTTTGTTTTTAAGATTCTCTATCTCAGAAAGTTAAAGTTTATAGCAGGGTTGTTGTGCTTCTTGGGCTTCTGTTGGGCTGCCACATAAATTGCTCTGACTGCAACACAGCCAGAGTCCCTGGGTTCCCCCTCCTTTCTCCATCTCCTGCTTCCTATCCCTGCCCCAGGGGGTGGGCAGTGCAGTTTGGCTTGGGGAGCTGAGGGTGAACCTGGTGCCATGTGAGTGCACAGTGCAGCTGTGGGGAGGGTTCACCTGAGCAGGTGCATGGTACAGTGGTGGGGAGGAAGGGGGGAAACATCTACGTAGCATGTGACCCAGGGGACCTGTGGTTGACTCATGTGGCCCCCAGTACCTCAGAAGTTGGTCAGCCTGGTTTATAAGTATCCAATTATCCAGGTACTAAGACTGCACGCTGCTTTCACCAAAAGCAGTGCTTTCCAATACAAATGGCTCAGGTTTGACAATAAAGTGTAGCAAAAAGAGTTTCTTAATGAGAATGATATGAATTAAGGATCTGCTTCACTACCCACCAGAGCCAGAGAGAGGTGTTGTGTCATTGGAAAAGTGGAATCTCCAGACCTTGAAACTCAGTGCTTCCTTATACCCTTCTTGGCACTAATCCAGGCCTGTATAAAGTGAGTTAAGACCTTAGTTTGCTATGATGACTCCATCTAGTCTGATTTGCAGTCTTTGGAAATTTTACGTGCCAAGACTAAAGTTCACTTTCTGCAGCAGGTGACATGCAAGATGCACAAGGCAGAGGCATTTTCATTCATGGTTGATTTGGTTGGGTTGACTTGTGGTCCATGTCTTTCAAGTGTGTTTGATACAGAGTGAAACAAAACATTTAACTTGGGTGTCCTCAGATACGCGAAACCCTGATTTCCCCATCTTTTTTTTTTTAATGTAGAAATTTAAAATGACTGTTTCTGGATAAGACATCTCATTATCTATAAAAGTTCTGTTGCATCTGATTTTGATTTGGCACTTCTGCTAACAGTTAAATTTTCATACTATAAAATGTTTTGAATTTTGCAGTTCTAGGTCACTGTTAAGATATCATAAGGTCACTGAGGCCAGGTCTTCAGTTAAAAGCTCTCTTTGCATAGCCATGTTGGTTGAGGGGGGTGAAGATGTATGACCAACATACCAGCATAACTGCCATCTCTCCTGGTAAAAGTGAACTTCTGTTGGAATAAATTTGGTTTGCAAGTGGTGGTTTCAAATTCAGGTGTGTTTCTGGAAGCATAGTATCATAAAACTGAACATTCAATTTTGATGTTAATTATTTTTCTTTTAAATATGGGATTATGTGACCAAAATAATGACTTCTGATATTTGGGAAGAGATGGACAATTTATAAATTTTAATAGGTTTTTTTTCTTATTGAAAAGTCCTGTTCAGTTTCAGAGTACCTTGAGCATTTGTTTATAGGACTGTATTCC